TCCATCCATCCACCCATCCACCCTCCATCCACCACCCATCCATCCACCCATCCACCCATCCATCCATCTATCCACCCATCTATCCATCTATCTAATATTTATTGTCTGCTGGACATGGGAGTAGAGCTGCATACAAAACAAATAATTAAGATAATTTGATGCATGAAATCCAAGACAGATAAACCCTTCAGAAATAGTAACAGGAGTATTGATTCCCTGAAGGTATGGGAATGGGGGAGGGGGAAGGAGGGAAGTGATTAGCAATGATGTCTGTATAACCCCATTCGAGGGGAACAAATAACAGAATTGTAGGTGAATGGATACATTGGATGGTGTAAGATATGGCCAATATATGGTCATATAATAATATAATACAGTACCATAATAAGGGTTCCTGGGGTGGGTAGGGTGGGGGGGGGAGGAGATAAAGGGGAGCTGATATCGATGAGTTTAAGAAGAAAATGTTTTGAAACTGATTATGGCAGCAACTGTACAATTATGCTTGATCTAATGGAATTATGGATTGTTATAATATCTGTAAGAGCTCCCAATAAAATGATTAATAAAAACATTAAAATTAAAAACAAAACAAATTTTTTGTCCCAGTGAAACTTAAATTTTCCTGGGAAACCATTTGGGTTTTTAGGCAAAGCTAGAAATTTGGGTTTTGATCAGAATGCAGGGATTTTCTTTAAAAAAAAAAAATTACCTAGTCGTAAAAGCTTGTAAGCGGCTAACTTAAGGCATGACAATTACTCTCCCCTCAGCCTGGCTCCAAGAAGGGTAAGGAACATCAAAGATGCATGGAAACAATTAGCTAATGGGCTAATGGACCACATGAACCCAAGGTTTATGACCGAGACCAGAACCAGATGGGGCTCCAAGACCACTGTTGACCGCTCTGAAAGAGGTCACAGTCAGAGCCCTGGACAGAGCCCAGGTCAAAGCCATCGAGACCAGGCTGGCTGGTCTGATAGCGACTCGTGGAGCCTTGCAGACTCCCACCCTCAGACACCTTTCAAGTCTGGGACTGAACTCAACCCGTGGCTCAGCCAGATGCCTGGAGAGGCCTGTTAGTGAACAGTAGCGGCTGAGAGGGATCCATGCTTTCGAACCATCAAACGGGCAGCGTTTGCCAGGGGACAAAGCCCAGAAGGCAGGAGAGGACATGAACGGAGACCCAGGAGGAGGTGGGAAGTCTGCTGTTACGTTGTGAGGACTGCGACCAGTGTCACAAAGCAAATGTGTGTGTACCGTTGAGGGGGAGAGCCATTCAAGCAGTACACTTTTACACTGATCACACACACATGCTCGCCAGCGCAAGCGCAAACTGACTTCAAACCAAAATAATAAATTGCCTAAAAAAAAATTCCGGTGTAAGTAATAAGTGGTGGAGGGGATGCGGAGAGATAGGAACTCTTGTGCACTGCTGGTGGACCTGTAGGTATGTACAGCCACTATGGAAATCGATTTGGCGATATCTAAAACAGTTGGAAATTGAGCTACCCTATGATCCAGCAATCCCCCTATGGGGCATATACCCGGAAGAGACAAAAAACAAACCACGACCAGACATCTGCACCCCAGTGTTCATCACGGCACAGTTCACAATTGTAAGGAGTTGGAAACTGCCCAAATTTCCATCAACAGACGATGGATTAAAAAACTCTGGTACATACATACAAAGGAGTATTACACATCCCTAAAACGCAGTGATGAACGCATGAAGGACATCGCCGCATGGGAAAAATCGGAGGAAATTATGCTAAGTGAAGTAAGCCAAACACAAAAGGACAAGTACTACGTGAGTCCACTAAGGTAAGCGCAAAAAAAAAATTTTTTTTTTTTTTTAAAGGGCAAAGGGAAGAAGATGCTGTATACATACGTCCCTGGAGTGAGGTCCAGGTAATATGGCAGGGGCCAGACTAAACCCAGGGATACATATGGTAGCCCACTAAAAGGGAGGAGGGAAAAAGGTATGGGTAGCCAGGGGAACAGGGCATTAACCCACACAGGGGGAGGGT